TAAAGCGATTTCGGTGGTTGAGATTGAGCGCACGGAGGTGGTATCCATTGGCGTTTCGGAGAGTGAGAATGCGGTGGGTGCCGGTAAAGCCTTCAAAGAGCCACCATGTTTGATCGATATAGGTTTGGCTGGAAGAGGAGCTGGCGGTTGAAGTCGCCGAAGCTGCGACGTTATACCAGAGGAACTACCGACAGTTGTCAAGGTTCGAGGGTCAGGTGGTGGCTGAAGGCGACTAGTAGATGCGGACTGCTTTTCGTTTGAGTCATTTGATGAGATGACTTGAAGACGTGGAACTGGTAGCTGCTTAAGGTTGGACTTCGAATTTACAGAAGACCTGGAAACGGGTTTGGATGTTACAAAGTCAGTCCTCGGGTCGAATTTGGGTTTAGAAACAGTTCTAGTTTGTGCTGATTGAGGTCGTTTCTCATTAAAGGCTGAAGAGAACTGAGGAACCTGGACAGGAGCCTTAGGACCAGCAGGCTGAGGTTTTTGCGTTTCAAAGCCATCGGCCACTGCCATGACCCGCCGACGCTTCTGCGCTGGCATTTCCTAGATAGTTTATGTAGTTAGGTCTCAAAGATTAAAGCTGAAGCGTACCCGCCCATTGTTGCCAGACATGGGAAGACTCAAAAGAGATGACTGTTTGTTTGAATTTGTGTCGGTTCCTCTCCCACCGACCAACATGTCGAAGCTTGCGCAAGACGCTGCTGCTTTCAAAAATGTACTCAAGAGGCAGGATTTCACTTCATGGCACTCCCAGACTCCAGCTTCTACCGATGCGTCGGGTTCAACTCCTCCTCTGACACCTGTGGAATCTTCCTCACAACCTTCCCCGAAAAAGAAACGACCAAAGACCAGTTTGAGTCATTTGGACTGCTTATCGTACTTGTACTGAATTCTTTTTACTAGATATCGTGTATTCTCAGCCTGCAGATACCGGAACTGGTATGAACGTCAATACACAATTGGTTTATGCTGTGAATCACCTCAAGGTGGACATGCAACAGCATTTGATTGAAAGAAACCCTGCTAAAATTTCTTAGAGCACTCAAAATCCTATGCGTCTGCAGGACATCGCCATCGTAACAAGCATACCAATAGACACCGACCCAGTTCTTCTCGAAAAGTTCAAGGCTCATGATCGAGTCATATGGGATCCCAAAACCGACCTTTACTCTTATAAAGTCCGTACCCAAGGCCTCTTTATATCAGCATAATCTAATTAGCGTATAGCATGAATTCACTTTTCGAAACAAGGCCGCCCTTTTGACCGAGATCCAGCGCCAAACTCGGAAAGGCGGAGGCATCCCCGTTCGTGCTTTGAAAGACGCCTGGAAAGAAGCTCCGGCCGCCATCGAGGAGCTAGAGAAAGAGGGAGAAGTCTTGGTCACCCGTACAATCAAAGATGGGCAGCTGCGAATGGTCTTCTGGAACGAAATCAAACCCACCGAGGAAGAGGGAGGTATGCCTGTCGAGAAAGGTACGTAAAATATGTCTCAGACTGTGTTTTGAATGGTGGTCAAGGCTGTGGTTTGTATTTACTTATACTCACATGGACGCAGAGTTCAGTGAGCTGTGGCACTCTCTCAAGGTCCCCAACGACGTTGATCTTTTGAAACAATTGGCTTCAGGTATATCTCTAGCTGTCGGTAAATCCTGGATCTCTGAAACAGGTTGGCACAGAGGGTCTACAGGCCACAAACGCAGAGGCGCTTGTACCAAAAGCACCCGCAGGCAAAAAGAAGGGAAAACGGGGCGGCGCTCCCAGGCAACGTCCCGTGCGCATCACCAATACGCACATGAGAGGCGAAATCGATTTGTCGCGGGATTATGTGGCTCCTGCAAAACAAAAATAGTAGGAACTCTGGGAGCGGGGAATGTCTTTATATTTATCATTTCTATTGTACATGCTAGTCACCATTGTCGCAGCCCCCCATGCTGCTGTAATTACACCAGAAACGAGGACCTATTCCTTCAAATCGACATCGTCCTTTCTCATCCATGCTTCCACTCTGCACCGCGACAGATAATATGAACGTGTGGAGCTTCAATGGGGCTGTTACAGCTAAGTATTTGCAGCTGAACAGTTTCTTGATGCTTGAGCTTGAGGATGGGGGCAGAAACTGAAGATTATTGATCTGATGTTTCTTTTGAGGTACATGCA